CCCCCCCCTCACTCACTTGAGCCTCTGGAGCTCCCGCTGCAGCCCCTCCGCGCCCTGCCGCAGCCGCTGCGCGTCCGCCGCCCGCTCCGCCACCTCCAGGCTTCGCAGCACCAGCTGCGCCTGCAGCGCCTCGTGGGCCGCCTGCTGCTCCTTCAGCGCCGCGGCGGCCAGCTCGGCGCGCCGCAGGGAGTCCTCCAGGTCGGCCAGGCAGAAGCTGCACGCCCCGTCAGACAGGGAGACCACGACCAGGCCGGGGCCCGGCGGGGGCGGCGGTGCGGCCGCGCACGCGCCGCCCCTGCTGTTGCTGCTGCTTGAGCTTGCTAGCCGGCTGCTGCTGCTGCTGGCAGCGCCGCGCGCGGGCCAGCCGTTCCCTGCGCAGTTGCCGTCGCTGGCCCCCGTGCCACCAGGGGCTGTTGCGGCTGGCGCGCCCCACGGAAGGTCTGAGGGCCCCTGGGCGCTGCTGTGGAACAGCAGATGCTGCGGCAGCACGCCAAGCGCGCGTGCGATGGCGTCGCGGACAGCGGCGGGATCGGGCGCGCCGGCCGGCGCCGCGCCCTCCGCGGCGTCGCTGCTGCGCCGCCGGGACGCGGCTGGCAAAACCAGGTCAAACGCGGGCAGCAGCAGCTGCACCTGGATCGTCACCTCGCCCTTGGCCGCCGCCTGCTGCTGCTGCTGCTGCTGCTGCATGCCTGGCCGCTGCAGGTTCAACTGCATGCGGCCGGCGGCGGCGTCGGGGCCGCGGGCCGGGCTGTGCGCAGGGGACGATGCTGACGTTACAAACAGCGCCAGCGGAGGCGGCTTTGCACCGCGCGTGTAGGGCCCGCCGCCACCACCTGCCGCATCATCGCTAAAGCCGATCAGCTGGGGAACGCGGGGCATTTGGCGCAAAGATTGGTGTGTGCTGCCCTGGTGTTGCTGCTGCTGATCCCCGCCATCTGCAGTGGCACCTGGCGGCACAGGCAGCTGCAGAGCGCTGCGTCCGCCGCTGGGGGCTGGCAGCTGCAGTGCAAACCTAGGCGGAACCGGCCGTGGGCGGTCACATACATGCTCTTGCTGCTGCTGCTGCTGCTCGTGCTGCTTGGCTGCTGCTGCATCGCTCGACGCCGCCCTGTCGTTGGCGTCTGATATGCCTGGCCCCCGCGCACTAGTTGCGCGCTCCGATCTTGCTGAAGGGGGCGTTGAGGGACCTGGGCTGGCGTCAGACTCGCTCAGCACAAGAGGGATGTCGTCAAGCTCGCTGGACCCGAGCTCGCTTTCTTCCCCTTCCTCTGGGCCAGCCCAGCACTCATCATCGTCTGCCATATCAAAGAAGCTTTCGACACGGTCGACAAAAGTGGTTGGCAGCTACACCACCTGGACAACAACAATTTTGCGAGTGTTGCTGTCCTGCTGACCGACCGTCGAGGCTTCAATCGCGAACCTGCGCGTATGCAAATCGCAGATGTTTGGTAACACAACAAATACGGTAGGGGCGGACAACGTGCTGTGCCTCAGGAAGGCGGCAGCAATGCACATGCTCGCTGCTGCAGCTCAAGCTCTGGCTGCATGGCGGTCTGTGTGGGTACAGTACCATGCAGCTTTGCCATAATTGGCCCTGCGGCGTCCAAAACGGGCCGCACATCAAGGCTTGTGCATACCGCAAGCACAGGGAAAGTGTTGCACAAGGCGCCGCCAGGTAAGAAGAATTCTCAGACCTCGCACCAGAGCTGTTGCGTGGGCTGGCTAGCCCTGGTCGCACGCAGCGGCAGCAGACCCGGCATTACGAACCCGTCATCGCCGCGAGCCGCCGCTGTTGCGCTGCCAGATGAGCCTCTTTTGAGCGAATGGTGCGCTCGAGCGTCCGCAGGTGCACGTCCGATTCCTGGGGTTGTGCAGTGCGGCCACAGACTTCATGAGCCACAAGGCTTGCGCCTGGATTGGCCTGCAGCATGTCAGGCTGAGGGCTGCTCACATCTGTGTCCTAGGGTCACGCTGCCCAGCAGCCCCAGCCTCGGCCCCGCATCCCCCACCTTGATGGCCTGCTCTAAATTCCGTAGCTTCCACTCGCCCTGCAGGAAGATGAGGATTAGAATTAGAACTGTTACAGCGTCCGGTGGTCGCCCGCTTCTGAAGTCATCCAAGCTCAGGGGATGGGAGGAAGAGCGGTATGGCCCTCCAGGGCTCAGCACCAGCCCCAAGCCCGTCGGTGCTTTGCACGCTCTGCAGCACTGCGCGCACGCGCTGCGCCTCACCTGAATTGGCTGGGGCTGCAGCAGCTGCTCATGGTGGGCGCGCACAACCCCAAGCTGCCAGCCTTGCAACGCAGCCTGCGCTTTCTCCAGCCGCGCCGCCGCCGCAGCCTCCCCACGCTTCCGCCTGCCGAGTGACCCGAGTATGCTGCTGTTGTTGATTGTGCCTCGACAATACTAGCATCCATCGCGCTCAGTGAGCGTGGATCAGGACCCTCCTGACCAACCACCAATGCTGGACATGCCACAAGCACCGCGCATCCCTGCGTCCCTGCATCCTGAAAACTGGCACTCTGGGTTAAACCCCGGCACTCGCGGCGCACCTGTTGGCCTGCAACTCCTCCCGCTGGCGCTCCCTGAGGCGAGCCAGCTCACGCTCAGTGTTGGCCACCGCGCTGCGCACCGTCATCAGGTCCACGCGCCGCTTGAGGCGGCGATCCCTGAGCACAGCCTCGTGGGCGGCGCGGAATTGCAGCCGCGCGGGGCCGGCCGCAGCGGAGCAGCGGTAGCCGTGGCGCTCACACAGCGCGCGCCAGGCGGGCTCGCACGCGGTTCCGAACACGATCCGCCGCCATGCGCGACAGACGCGGCTGGCGTGGAGGAGGTCCTCTGCCGACACCAGCGCGCACACGCGTGCGAGCGAGTCGTCGTCCATTCAATGAGCAGGGGTGGGCGCCTCTCCTGCTGCGCCCCTCCTGCTGCAACGCTGGCTGCAACTGCACAAGGCTTGTACCAGCGGATGCTACTGGACGCTGTGTTTCAAGTGCAGCAACGACGTGCTGACAGCAGCCGCAGTGCTGCGGCTGTTCCCAAAGTGGTGCGGAGGGATGACGCCGCAGCGCCACTGCACTTGAGCGGACGCGCCACCCCTGCCTGCTGCCACAGGGAGGTGGGCCAGCGGCGTGACGTCAGGATGGAACGCCGTTGAATGTCAGGGCGACGCGATGTCGCTGATAATAATACCAACAGCTTTTGTGTGGAAGCGTGCAGGAAAACGACTACTATAGATCGTGAATCGGGCTGCGAGCTCAGGGTACAGTAGTTGTTTGCAATATCTCAGCCTAGATACAACTATGTGCCAACGCTTTAGTCACAAAGTTATTGACATGGGACTGGCTACGGGCGCATGAGCGTGGCACATGCAACGTGGCAGCCCGCACCTGCCCGCGCCGGCACTTCACTCGCTCGGTCTGGCACCCTTCGCCTTGAGGGTCGCACACCACAACACACCAGCAGGGCAGCCCGCGCGCAAAAGGCCCTACAGCATAGACGCATTCGCCAACATTGACCTGACCCGGGGGACCGAAAAGTCAAGCGTTACCCCTTCACCTGCAGGCTCCATGTGCAGGTGTGTTGCACAGCTGCGGCAGCTCGCTGGCCACGTGCACGTCTGTAAACAACAAGAGCTTGAAAGGTGTGCTAGCCCACAACTAGGGCACGGCAG